AGTTTCATTAGCCTCTTTGTAGTCAGTTCCAACCCCCAAAACTAGTCCCTGGCAATTTCAATGGAACTATATGGCATGCAGCGTTTGTGTCTTTTTTCCTTCTCATAGCATCATGCTTTTGTTATCTACCCAGGTTTTTGCCTGTATCAGTAGTTTGTTTCATTTTATTGCTGAGTGATATTCTGTTGTATGGGAGATATGCTATATATCACAATTTGTTTATCCATTAACTAGTTGATGGGACCTCAAGGTATTTCCATTTTTTGGCTATCATACATGAAACTGCTATGAACATTCTCATACAAGTCTTTGTGTATATATAGTTTTACATTTCTTTTTTTTAATAAGGATTTTATTTATTTATTTATTATTATTTTTATTTATTTTATTTATTTTTTTAATTAATTTATTTACTTTTTAAATACATTTGTCTCTGCCTTCCCCCCACCTCTTTCCCTTGCCCCCTCCCACCTTCCCTCCCTCAGCTCTTCCCCTTTGGTTTTGTCCATGAGTCCTTGCTATATGTTCCTTGACTTTCCCCTTCCCTTCCCTTTCCCTGCCCCCACCTTCCCTCTTGTCTCTGTTGATTTCTTTTCCTTTCAGTGTTGCTGAAAGGAAATTTATTCAGTATTTATTTATTTTTAGAGAGGGAGAAAGAGGGAGAGAAACATCAATGCGTGGTTGCATTTCACACGCCCTCTGTTGGGGACCTGGCCAGCAACCCAGACATATGTCCTACACTCGGAATCAAACCAGCAACTCTTTGGTTCACAGGTCAGTGCTCAATCCACTGAGCCACACCAGTTAGGGCAGTTTTATATTTCTATTGGTAAATACTTAGGAACATGGATGCTGGGTCATATATTATTTATATGATTAACATTATATGAAATTGACAAGCTATTTTCCAAAGTGGCTGTACCATTTTGGATCTCCATCAACAATGTAAGAGAGTTCCAGTTCCTTCACACACTAACCAAAACTTGGTATCTTAACAGTGCTTTTTGAAGAGCAATAAGTTTTTAGTTTTGATGAAGTTAATTTATCAATTTCTTCTTTTAGACTTTCAACGATTTTCTTGGTACGTTCTAATACACAAACTCAAAGATCAGAAAGATTTACCAAGTCCAAGATCATAAGGGCTTTCTCCTAGGTTTTCTTCCAGAAATTTAAAAATTGTAGCCTTTATATTTAGATTTACTTCTACATCAATTTCAAGAAAATTTTTATGAGGGGTATGAGTTAAAGGCTGAATGTGTATATATAAAATATGTAATATATATGTGTATATATAGTATACATATACTATATTAGTATAGTATATATACTATATATTATTACTATATATAAATACTATAAATACATTAGAAAATATAATAGTATATATTATTATATATTATATACACTATTCAGCCCTTAACTTACATGTATATATGTTACATATGTATATATGTACAAATATATATTTATATTATAAATATAACTATAAAATATAATGTATATATTATATGCATATTTAATGTTATACATGTATATATAATATATATTAAATATAGATATGTTATATATACATGTTATATATCATATACATGTTATATATTAATATATTTATGTATCTATAATATATATGTATATATAATATGTATTATGATACATGTGTATATATATGCATAACCTAACCTCATTTGTTGAATGTCCTACTGTAGGAGGCCACTTAACTCTGAGTCAAATCAAATCCACGGAAAAGACACACCCCTAGATAGAGGCCTAAGGGTTTGGAAGTTCTCACCAAGTTGACTTTTGAATAAAGATCTGAAGAAAGTGATGGAGCAGGCCATAGAGATCCTAGATTGAAGGGTGGTTCAGGCAGAAGGGAAATTGTAAAGGTCCTAATAAAAGCAAGAAGGACACAGTGGTTGGAGAGAGTAGTAGGAAATGGCTGGGGGGAGGGTGAATGTGTAGAACATTTAGATCGTTGTAGGTAAGTCATTCTTAAAATTTTGGAAATGCCTAAGGACATTTTTGGTTGTCACAGTTTGCAGGGGAGGAGGGAGTGCTGGGAAGGCCCTGGGTGCTGTTAAATACCCTACAATACACAGGAGTCCACCTTTTGACCATCTTCCCTTTATCAGCAAAGAACTATCTGGCCCAAATGCCAATATTGCCAAGCTTGAAAAATGCTATTGTAGGTCATAGTAAGGACTGGCTAATACTGAGTAAACTAGAATGACACCGAACTGTTTTGAGAAATGACCTACTTCAAGCTTTTAAAAATACCATGTGGCTATTTGTTGTGAAAAGACTGAAGGGCTAGATGGGTAAGAAATAGGACAGAATTTAGGAGGGTACTACAATCACTCAATAAAGAAATGATGGTTTGGATCAGAATGACAGCAATAGGGGCAGTGAGAAGTGAGAGATTCTGGGTATATTTTGAAAGTCAAGCTAACAGGACTTACTATGTCCTAAAATTCATGTTAAAACCTAATCCCCAGTGTGATGGTATTTGGAGATGGGGCCCTTGGGAAATGGTTAGATCATGAACTTCCCAGCCTACAGAAATGTGAGAAATAATTTTTGTCTGTTTGTTTATAAACCACCAGGTCTATGGTTGTGTTAGAGCAACCTGAAAGGACAATATGACACTAAAATACTGGGTATATAGGTGTGAAAGAGAGGAGCCATGTCCATGTATGTCCCCTCAGGAGTAATCTGTTGCAGCTGGTGCTGGAGGTGCATCTTCCCAAAGAAAAGTAACCTAGAGCAGTGGACAGAAACCTAAACAAATTTGGAATGCGAGAAAGAATGCCCATATGGATGTCTGGATTGGCAATCAATAGTATTTGTTACATATGTATCTTATGGACATTGTTGGATTTGTGAATGACTATCTTAGGAGGGCACAATTATTCTCCATATAGACTGTTGGGTTTTAAAAAATGTTTTTATAGCCACAGCACCAAGTGCTTTTTAAGAATATTCTCCTCATGCAATCATTCATTTGGTGACAATCTGAGGGATGTAGGAAGTCCTAAAACCTATTCCATCAGTCATTAAAGGACTTCGATTTTCCTTTCAGTATTTGCATCCCAAGCACTTAGTGACTTCCTACAATAGGAAATTGGTGTATTGCTTAATAATTGCTTTCTGAGCATTTGTTTTGTCTATCCTAAAATATTAGAAGCTCAGTGAGTCCTTACTATGTGTTAGAAACTAGTGAAGTTATCATAATAATCTTATACCTATAAGCTGATAAAGATCCTTTTCTTGCCCAAACTCTAATCAGGCTTCCATGAACTCTTTTTCAACTAGGCCTTGACTTTTGGATTTTTATGTTCTTTTCTATAGTTGTCCGATTTTAGTAAACATCCTGGTAAATTAGTTTGGCCGGAATCCCCCATCTTCCATAACTCATCACCCTCCAATTCTAATAGAGTTCCTCGTCTGGTGGAACTCTATTAGACAAGTGATGTCTGGTCACCCTGGCCTGCCCTAAAATCCTGTTCGCTCAGTTTAGCCAGGCTCCTCCCCTTACTCCTGGCTGCTTCCTCCTAGAAATTTTCCATCCACTGACTCCCACCTTGCTCCTTGGCTATAAATTCTCACTTTTTGTTGCTGTATTTTGGAATTGAGCATAGCTTTTTCTCCTATTGCAATAATTTTGAATAAAACCTTCCTTACCATTTACAAGTGTCAGAAGTTTCTTTTTCTCTTTTTTTTGTTAACAGAACTTAAAACCTAAATAGCTAGGGTGATTTCCATTTTGCAGACAACAAAATTGCAGTTTTGTAATTACATTTAATAAGGATTATCCAGTTTGTAAATTGAGCATTATTTACAGTAGCCAAGATATGGAAGCAACCCAAGTGCCTAATAGAGAAGCAGATAATAAAGCAGTGGTATATGTACACAATGGAATATTACTTGGCCATAAAAGAGAATGAAATCTTACCATTTTTGACAGCATGGATGGACCCAGAGGATATTATGCTAAGTGAAATAAGTCAGACAGAGAAAGTCAAATGCCATATGATTTCACTTATATGTGGAATCTAAAGAACAAAACAAATGAACAAACAAAATCGAAGCAGACATAGATACAGTGAACAGACTGATGGTTGCCAGAGGGTAGGGGGTTTGGGGCTGGGTGAAAAAAAAGTGAAGGGACTAAGAAGCACAAATTGGTAGTTACAGAATAGTCAGAAAGATGTAAAGTACGGCATATGTAATATAACCAATATGATTGTAATAACTATGTCAGGTGGGTACTAAAAACATCTGAGGGGACACTGTAAAGTATGATTGTCTAACCATTATGCTGTATACCTGAAACTAATACAAAATAATACTGAATATAAACTGTAATTAAAAAATAAAAGAACAGATTATTCAACCAGTAAATCATTGGTTTTGAGCCAACATGCCTCTTAGAACTTGAACGCCGTGTTACAGGCACTCCTACTCACACCAGCCTTCTTGCTCAGGCAGGCCTAGCTAGTGTGTTAGTTTTCTGGAAGTGCGCAGTAAGGACTTGATTCAGTTAGAAGCTCTCGCTACTTAGATCGTGGTACAAGAGCCCTAAAATTACACCCACATAAATGTAGGTCCTGGTTGTTTGACACTGAACTGATCTGATGGCTGATCTTGAGACTCTGGCGGGCGAGGGTGGATGGCGATAATACAGCTCTCACTGTCGATTCAGAACCGCCTCTCCCTCTTCCCTCGGCGGCCTTCTAGAGTGGACAAGCAGCTGGAAGGAAGGCGCTAGCCGCGGCCGCGGAGTTCTCGTTACTCCGCGAGCCCTGGCCTGCCCTCCGCAAGCAAAGCGATGCGAGAAAACAGGGCGCGGCGGCCAGATGCGGGGCAGTTAGTCTGGCCCCTTCCGAGGGCCGGCCCCGGAGCAGGGCCCGCCTCCCCGCGGGATTGGAGGCCCGCGGCCCCGCCTGGGCACCAAGAGGCCGGCGGGAATCCGTGCGCGGGTCCTGTTTCTTTGCAGGCCCCGCCCGTGCTGCGTCCCAAGCCCGGGAGGTGCAGGCGTCGGAGCGCGGCGCAGGCCAGGTTTCCGCGGTTGGTTCCTTACTTTTTCATAACTAGAAGCGAGAACCCGGCGCCCCCTCAACTCGCGTTTGCCCAGAGCGCCGACGGGGAAGCGGGTACGGTTCCTTTTCTCCGGTCCTCAAAGAACTTGAGCCGGGAAGTAAGTCTGCAGACGCCGGCTGGCTTTGCGGTGCGTCGGGCTGGCCTGCCCGGGGTCCGGGGCGCGGTCTTGGGGGCGAACCGCGTCCTGGGCGGCTCTGAACTGATCTGTCAGCCTCACTTTCAGTACTGGCTCGTGTTCAGGCCTCCGGGTGTCGGTTTGTCCCCGGAAGCTCTTGTTGAGCGCTTTTGACCACAGTCAGGAAGAAATCCAGAAGGAGAAGGGACACCCGGGGACTCATCGGGAGAGGAGGATGCCCTTCCCTCTGAGAACGTGAACTCGGGATCCCTGTCCAGGATGTGCATTTTACAGTCAGTCTCATTTCAGGTCTCAAGTTCTGATGACCCCAAATTTTCACTCTTCTTAAAGTTGTTCTTTGGAGACTTTAGGTTTTAAGCCAGCAAATATGTACTGGATACCAGTATACAGAAAGTACTGATCAAGAGGGCACCACCACAAAACTTTCTTTTACTTTACGCATAGTTCACCATCTCACTTCCCGGCGTCCCCTGTGTTCGCTTTGGAAGGACAGGTGGATATCCTTAGAGATTTCACCTGGGTCCTTCGTTCTACCTGGGACCTTGCTGCTAAGTAAATGATGACAGGGCATTGGATTAAAGTAAGTGAGGGAAGGAAAACCTATTAAAAGGAACAGAAACTTTCTCATTCTGAAGATGGGGAGATGGTACAATGAAAGCTTTATATTAACTTTCATTCAAAAGCACTCAACACTTTAAAAAAATTGTTTGGAAATACAGATTTGCAGTTACCTTCACTTTTAATTTTTAAAGTCATTTCAGGCATATATGCGGTTCTCCTCCCCTAAGAAATTTTCCCTTCTAGTGTAAAAATCTCATGGTGAAATTCACTAACCAGTGTACAATTATAATTAATTGATTAAAGTTGTGTGACTGCACTGTTGGGTCTGTGCTTTTGCTGTTGGCAGTAGCACATTATTCTCTCAGGCAGGGCAGTTTTCACTTAGGTGAGGGTGGGGAAGGGGCAGGGTATAGAAAAATCCGAAGAGGCTGGAAGAGGAGTGTGTCAGCCTGAGGCTGCCCAGTGGCCTAGTGTGCTGCTAAATTATAAATCCATGAAAATCTCTGTCATTTGCTGTTTGGTGATGATGTACATTGCCATCTTTTGCATTTTTCCAGTCCAATGTTATATTCTTTCCTAATGACCCAAGACCTAACCTTTGACACAGCATTCTCAATGAAAGGAGTATGTAAAATTTCTCTCACTGGAAATTAACTCAGTTTTTAAGGTGTTACTAGGTATAACAGAACGCCACATGAATTTTGGACATGTTAAGTTCAACAGGCTTGTTTTTTAAAATATCAGTACCTTTTAGATTTCACTGTTATTACGTATGTGAATCTTCAATTTGAATGTGTGAGGACTTTCCCAAACCCAACTGACTCCAGAATCCTAATTTCTAGAAACCTGGGAAAGTTCCCCATAGAAGACATTTCGAGAAAAATATTTTAACTGCAGTTTTTTTGTTACTTTTGTTTTTAATCACTGACCTCATCCCTTCAGCAGAAGTGATGCCACCAAGAAGAAACGGAAAATACAAACTTCCTGTTCCACTGCCAGAAGGCAAGGTTCTGGATGATGTGGAAGGAAATAAATGGGTACTAGGCAAGATGATTGGTTCTGGAGGATTTGGATTGATCTATTTAGGTAAAGTATAATTATAAATTACCTTATATTCTTATATATGTGACTGTAATATTTTGAAATTATGACTTTGAAGTAAAATAGAATAAATGTGCTTTATTAAGTAATACGAAGATGGTAAATGTTTAGTAGAATTTCTAGTTTCAAGACATGACTGGTCCCACTCCTTGTTGTCCACTTTTTATTGAATGACTCCTAGAAGACTTTTCAGAACCTCCCTACACAGGTTGCCAGGCAAAATGTTAATGTTCATTTTTGAGAGTGTGTTTTCCTGGAAACATTGCTTTTTTACAGCTCTGAAACCACAACTGCATAAATACAAAGAGTTCTTATTTGTGACTCTTAATCATTAATATTTAAGTAATTTAAGGTTCTGGTCATTTCTTAATTAGGCTCCAATAGAGCAATGGTCCCCAACATTTTTGGCACCGGGGACCAGGTTTGTGGAAGATAATTCTTCCACAGACCAGGGCAGGGGGATGGTCCTGGGATGATTGAGGTGCCTGATAGTCACGCTCCCCCCCTGCCATGTGGCCTGGTCCCTCCTGCCATGTGGCCTGGTCCCACAGGCCCAGACCGGCGCTCCACGGGCCAGGGGTTAGGGTCTCCTGCACTAGAGAATGGAGCCTTGATATCTCAAGGCATCTAGCATGGAAGGAATTAACTTCTTTCCTGTGCATCTAGGTGGCACTTGTAATGTGCCATCTTTGGGAGAATTGAGCAAACAGACGCTCAATATTATTTTCTCTGTTCTTTGATACACCGAGCCTTAGTTGAGTATACTTATATACAACATTTAAAAATTTTTTAAGTTCCACTAAATTTAAAAGGATCATTTAGGGCCACCTTAAAATCTGCAGTTTAATGATCAGGGATATCCTTTATAAGACTGGATTTCATGAATAAAATAACATAAATAATAGTGATTAAAAAATTACCATCAAGGATAAATTCTCTTAAATGTATTGACACATTACATCTGCTTCTGTAGTTTAAAACGTTGGTAAAAGACCTCCATTGCAGGAATCTTGGGTTCCTCATTAAACATTTCAAAGTGTGGGGTAGGAAAGACTTTCTCTCTACCCTCCTAGGTTCTCTAGCTGGGTTTATGAAATGAACTGACAATAAGATTAACGGGAGGAAAGGTATACAAATTTATTAATTTTTAAAAAGGTTTTATTTATTGTACACTAACCTGTACAATAATTAATTGATGAACATTATGTGACTGTACTGTGGGTTCCATCCTTCTGTTGTTGGCAGTGCCACATTAATCTCTCAGCAGCGCAGTTTTTCACTTGGGCGAGTGTGGGGAAGGAAGAGGGTATAGAAAAAACCCAGAGGAGCTGAAACATGGATCGGTTGCCTCTCGCAAGCCCCCAGCGGGGGACCTGGCCCGCAGCCCAGGATTATGCCCTGACTGGGAATCGAACAGGTGACTTTTTGGCCTGCAGGATGATACCTACCCACTGAGCCACACCAGTTAGGACCAAATTTATTAATTTTTAATGTTACATACTTGGGGTATTATAGAAAGAAAGTAAATATCCCCCAAAGTTGGGAGATTTGAGACCTTACATACCATTTTAGCAGGGGAACGAGAGGAGGGATATAGGTCACTGAAGGGAGAGTAAATAATTTTCAGGAAACATGAATGGGCCCTTAGAAGAATAGAGGGGGAATATGGCTGTGGTGACAAAGTTAGGAAGGGGTGTCAACTTCTCTACAGTAGTGAGTCTCTCCCTCCTCGCTGATAAAATTCCCCTGGAAGGGATTTAGAACAGTGGAGGTTTTATTGGGAAGATCTGTGTGCAGGGAGATAATGGGAATTTGGAGAAAGCCTCTCTGCCGTTGTTATTTTTCAAGTTCTTTCGGCTCACAATACAGTTAAACCTTAGACAATATCAGTTTGAACTGCATGGGCCCACTTATATGGGATTTTCTTTCAATAAATATTGTAAATGTATATTCTCTTCCTTAGGATTTTCGTAACACCATTTTCTTGGACCTCACGCCTTACGAGACACTTTTAGTTTTCTGTTTGAATTATTTGAGGAATTTCAAAGAACTACAGAAAAGTGTTGATTATAATGCTCTTATTCCCTTTTTTGAATGGAAATATATGTGAGGATGTGTGTTTAAATTTAAGTGCATGCTTAAAATTAATATATGACTACACATATACATAGGTATATTTGTTCATGTGTATGTTTACATACTCAGTATTTGTGTGGTGCAAAAGGAATTTATTTGCTCAGGTGTATGGTTTTTCTCTTTTCAAATACAGAAAAATCTTTGCTTCTTTCAGTCTAAGTGCATGCCACATATTTTTTCCTTATTTTTTTTTCTCATTACCAAACAATATTTGTTGTACAACAATTTTCAGGGTTCTATATGTGTGCAGTTCCTCCTACTATCTGAGTTTTAGAACCTGGATCCTGGGAATATTAGCAAGTGAACACCATTGGGGAAAGAACATTAAAAAAAGTTTAGAGATTTGAGGGAAAGGCTCCATACTTCCGAATCTGTAATGAAGCTGTGTGTTCCAAATGTTGTCATTGTTCCAAATGATGGCATGAGTGGCTCTCATAAATCATAGAATCAGCTTTTTAGCGAGAAGCTATCAGCAATAACTTCATTAAACGGGTTTGTATTGATTAGTTTCAAAGCTATATGAGCAAATCCATAGGAAATTATATCATGTTTTTGCATTTTAGCATGATTCTCATCACTTATGTATATAAGTGAAGAAGCAGATAAATTGAGGTTTTTCTTAATACCTTGTGTCCAGCTGCATTCATTTTTGGGATTGTTCTCTCCAGATACACCACTTAGGCAGACACTGTTGCCTGAGGCTGGGGAGAAACTAGCCTCTGTGTCTAACTCATTGTACATGGACAGCTGTCCTCTAGCTTTTAGATCAATAGCTAAGACCTTTCAGGGATCAGCAAAGGGCAGAGAAGTTTATTTACTCTTGACTTGAAGAGATAATTGCCTGTAGCATTAATAGTAACAGTTTTAAGAGGGAAAGAAAAGTTTGAATACAAGAACAGAAAGTCAAGGTTCTTATTTTGTATATGAAAGGAAGGGAAAAAGGAAGAAAGGAAACTGGTTTAGGGGATGAGAAAAATTGCTGTCGTTTTAGTATAAAATAAGTGGAAAAGTTTCTAAACTCCAGGGAAGGAGAGAGAACTGAGTTTGAATTCCGCTTTCATTGGATTGCATAAATGAGGGCATGGGTTTTGGTGTTTGGCAAATCTGGGTTCAATTCTGACCTTACTAAGCCGCTTACAAACTGTGTGTCTTTGACTTAGCCACAAGTCTTTGTGTCTATTTTTTATAATGGGATAATAATAATTGTGAAGATGGAAATAATGTTTTTAAAGAATTTAGGACTTGTTAAGCACTTAAATGTAACTTATTTATTTATTTAGAGTTTCCCATCCTCAGTGATTGAACTCTAGGTTCAGCGTCTGGTGCCATAAGACATTAGGATGGTGTCAGAAGCATCTGTTGGAGGGATTGTCCACGTATCCTGCCCAAGGATGTGATAGATTTAGCTACTACCGTGGTATAACTAAGAACATAGAGAATGTCAGTGGAAGACTATGAAATTTTACTTACCAACCACTATTTTTTTTCCCCCTTAAAATTTATGGTAGTAGCCATGGTGGCGTAGAGGAAGGTTCTCATTTAAGCCATTTTATCTGCTCTAGATGCGAAAGATAATGGGTTTCAGAAGTTAGTAAAAAAAATCCAGAAAAACAGAATTATAGGTAATAAACCAGCTAAATTCCTTGAAGACTTAAGTGCGTGAAAATAGGAATGCTTTATCTGGGGAAGTTTTAGTTTTTTGAAGTTGGGTACAGTGATGACTATTTAGCAGCCTCAGAATATCAAGCACGGGGCAGATGTTCAAGAGTTGTTCGCCTGAGAGATTGAGACTGAGGTTGGGATATTTAACCCATGCCAGTCAGTTTGCTTTATTCTTTTCCGTAATACAGATGTCACCCTTAATTCTACCCTGTAATCTCAGAGTCACAAGAAAAGCTGGGACAAGTTAAAATCATGATGTCATCTAAAAGAATTTATGTATGCTTTATTGATAGTAAATCAATAGCATCTTTTATGAAGAAGAATACATTCCTATGACTAAAATTGACTGTGCTGAGGCCTTAAGACTAGATCATTTATGCAAGGATAAGTGTTTAGATTTTATTTAAGTGATTGTCATTACATTTTTTTTTTTTTGGTAATGCTCTCCAATGAAGTTAATTTTGATCTTCAGAAACACAGAAGAAATCTTTTTTGAGGGGGAGAAAAGTGGATAGGATACTAGGATTTTTAGAAATTATTAAAATTTAACTCACTTATTTGATTGTTAAGGAGACAGACTTCTACTTATGAAGAAATAGAAAAGATTATTTATGCCAGTGTATTTTTTTACTTATTTTACTTTTTAGTCAGCTGTAATGGATTGATTTTTAAGGTATGCAGAATAATGTTTACAAGAGCCTAATGATAAACTATCAACAAAGTGCAGTTATTGGAACACATGTTGCTTTATTATACATTGCTGTATTAAATGTTGTTTTGGCAGCGGTTTACAGAGGAGGCTTGGAGATCAGCAGTTCGTCCTCTCTAACACAGTGCAGCATTATGGTGCAGCTACAACTGTTGCTAGGACATTTTGCAAATGATACTGTGGTGGTGAAAAGAGGGAAATAAATACGAAGTTAGAGTAACTTGTACTAGAAATTATATGATAAATTAGTTCCCAGATGAAGGTGTAGGGATGTAACGGTGATATAAACTCAAAAAAAGAAAGGGATCACTTGGATTTATGAATTTGATACATTTATTGGGCCTATCGATAAGAAATAAAAGTTTCTAGAAGTTAGATTTTAATTTTGTATGTGCTGTCCACAGGCTATTAAGTTTTAGTTTTTAAAGAGAGGGCACTGCTCATTTACCTATCAGTTAAGAAATCTAGGTATTTGTAA